TGGAGTCATCATTACCATGGAAGGCATTCGCCGGATTACGCTCGTCGACCATACCGACCCCTCACGTCGCTCCGACAATGAAGAGGCGCTGTCTCAAATCCCCTCGGCTACAGGGTCACGAACTGGCTCCAGGCAATTGAGCAGAGTGTCCATCCGTGGTGAAATCAAGCGACGAAAGTATGCCAAATGGCAGCCGGACCGATTGAAGCTTTCGGACGACAGTAGCTTGAGCAGAATGCCGTCCCCGTCGGTGAATCCATTGACTCACATGAATACGAATACAAATACCGTATCTGGGGAGAGCGCTCTTGCTGGCCCTTCTCAAGCCGCGATCGAGCAGCACGACATCGATGCGACGGATTTTGCGTCCTCAACGAACGGCGAGCGCGATTCCGCGGCGCCTCAGCAACAACAGGGCTATGACCCAAAGAACAACACCAAACCTGCTCATCCCGTGAGCGAATTGGACATTCTCTACGAGAATCAGCGCGGCTGGTTCTTTTTTGGCATTCCGTTGTACTCGCACAGCTCGCTACTCAATTTTGACCCCGGCCCTTGGGTCACGCATGACTTCCGCGAGAGCCCTGTCAACATCACCAATGCCCAAGTGCCAGACCCAAGCTGGGAATGGGCTTGGCCGTCATGGTACGTCGATATGTCCGGGGACGTCGACGACCAGGGCTGGCAGTATTCGTTCTCGTTTAGCTCAAAAGCCTGGCATGGGACTCATCCCTGGTTCCATTCGTTCGTACGAAGACGACGATGGGTTAGGCTGCGCGTAAAGCGCGCTGTGGAGAAGACACATCGTGGACGATCGGGATTCGAGATGGCTCACATGCTTAACGAGGATTATTTTACAATTCACTCTCCGCGGAAGCAAAGCAAAGCTGCCAGTTCGATAGCGGCGTCGGGGAATCTGAGTCGCACAACCACTGGAGTGGAAGAGGAGGCTCCGTTGGACGAGATAGGAAACATTCCTACACTAATGTATGCGTTGAAGGCTGCCATTGTCGATCGTGAGAAGATAGACGCTCTGAAGCGTTTCATCGAGGATGGGGGCGAAGAGCTCCACTACCTGGATGACAAGGTATCCCAATCACTCGTTTCTCAATCCTAATAAATAGGCCACTGACTGCCTGGTAGATCCCTGAAATCATGTCGATGTTTGTCTTCCAAAACTCGAGATGGCAGTTCCTCACCCACTTAGAGAATGTCATCAACGACCTCTCGCGGGAAGCGGCCGAAAAAGACAATGCAGACGCCGAAGAGATGCGGCGCAAACAACAGAACCTCCTGAAAGCTGCGGATACAGCGAGACGGCATATTACAGGGCCCGAGTTACTAGGATCCGACCACCATGAGTCGATGAATTTGACTCCTGCCTCAAAGCATAACCTGTTAGAGAACTGCTCCCAAAGGTCCTCGTTCAAACCCATCGACAATGGCGGACAGATCAAGGGTATCCCTGAGGCGGCGCAAATTGGCCTTGAAGGCCATATACACCGTCCTTCTTGATTCCTGGAAGTAAGACCTTCGATGGAGAGGCTGCTATCTTGCTGCAACTGACGGCATGTCGAGGGTTGTGTTGAGTTTGTTGAGCGTTGGATACCTTTTTTTCTCTTTTGTTCTTAGCGTCTAGGACCCCCAGTTCAAGCGTCAAATCGTAACGTGCTGCGCACAAAGTTATTGTCTAGACACCTTTCCAGTTTAAAGACTAAATAATTCAATTCAACGTCATCAATGGTTAGCTGAGATGCGTTAAATCCCGCAATGCTTCCGATGCTCCGCGTGGAGGAAGCTTGAACGGTCCGAACCCCACCGCCTGCCGTTCTGGCACCGCAAACAATTTTCTTGAACTCCAGGCCGAGCTTGAACCTCTAGTCGAGTTTCTACCAGCGTGCGCATGCAACACGACATAGACACAGTCTCTTGACGAATCAACCTCACATGCCTCTGGGAACCTGTTTGTGTCCTACCATATGTTCTCGCGCGGTCATCCGTGTCTGAGAAGACGTGGTCTATCCGCCGTCTTGGACAACGTCGCCGCTGGCCCCGAAGAACCCTTACTCTTTCTCTACCCTCGCTGGTTTATATCGACCTTGCGAAGAGAAAGGTCAATATCGTCAGTAAATTATACCCCCTCCGAAAAGGACCCGCTGTGCTCAGTTCCTCCCGTTCTCCGAGCGTCGTCTCGTCGCCGGAAATCGTCTTTCGGCATTCTCACACGGCGATGGATATCCACTCACTCCGCTGTCGAGACCGGCATTGCCCAGCCAGCTGGCTCACTGCCCGGGCAAAAGAATGTTGAACCCACACGAAGTCTAGGGCCTACGCGACCACAGGGAATAGAAAGCACCGGCGATAAAAATGGGAGCCATGACACTGTACCGAGTGAAACGGGACCCCATGCGGATCACGAGTCGTCAACATCGCTGCATGCATCGGAAACACCGGGTGAAAAGTCGCCGAATGCTCCAAGAGAGGACCGGAGGCCATTCAACATCTTCACGAACACGCAAACGTCAATGACGAACTTCCCGGCCAAGGACAAAGCGATCGGAGTCATGGAAAGCTTGTCGATTAGGGATCGGAAAAAATTGAGATATAGGCTTTATCTTTCGCGGACAGGCAGGGACCATGGGTCACGAGATAAATGGGGTCGGTGGACCAAAGTGGGAGACTTTTTGGAAGAGATGCAACAGGAGTCTCGGCTGTGGCCCAAGAAGGGGCCGGTGCAGAAGGAGCTCCTTATACCGGAGGAAACAATAGCGCTCCTGGCGGGCATCACGGACATGGCGATGAAGGAGAATGTCTGGTATGTACCAGTTCGCAATGGGTGCCGTGTTCATGTGTTGCATCCTCTAGAGAGCGAAGGGCAGCATAGGAAGGTCGTTTTGTCGGGTTCGAAGCGGAGTGTGGAATTGGTCGGTGATCACATCATGCGGACACGCATGTTACAGGAACAGGGTGATCCTCTAGTCGACATAAGGAAGCCCCCAGTCCCGGTTTACCCCTCTATCGAAGCGATGCGACGCAAGAATCTTCCGGTTCCACTTGTCCGAGGTGTCTGGGACTTCTACCAGGCGTTCAAGCAACCTGCGCCGCTGGACACACTTCTCAACTCGTCTGCCAAAATATCGAGTGTCCGGGAGTTCGCCGAACATGTAGAGGAACTGACCAGGTCTCGGCCGTCCTCAAGAGTCATTAGAGGGAAACCGGGTACTCATCACCGTGAGCGAGTGGCTGCTGCGCTTGTCGCTCTTTTCCAAAATGACGTAAACCGCGAGTATTTTTCGACTGCGGCATTGAATAGAGCGCTTTCATATCTGTTCGACAATGAAATCTTGGACGATGCTCGCGCGGTTTTCATCAGGGCCGAACATGTCGCTACAGTTGATACGTTTAATATGCTTCTGAAATCCGCGGCCAAGAGACAGGACATCCAGGTCTTTCGTGGTTTCCTCACCTCCATGTCGCGAATGCACATTCGACCGAACCCCTACACCTGGCTCGCTTTCCTTGATTGTCTCGTCTCTCCTAATGCGAAAGCAAGTCTTGTCAATTTTATGCTGCAGAAGGGCTACTTGTCGGACTCCGGTGCGATGCGGACCGCATTGCATTTAACGATACAAGATACATTCTTGGCGCATTTACAGAGCGGCAAAACTGTCGACGCTTTCTTTAATATGATTATTGATACATATGGGGCCAACTGGTTTTCCCCGACTCTGATCAATCAGATGTTAAGTGTCACCGTGCGATTGAGAGACTACGACGCAATGGACCGGTTGCTTGAAATATGCGAGCAGCAAGGCTTTGCGCTCGACAGCGCCACAGTCAACTCAATTCTGCCCTTGTTTCGCTCTGATGTCCAGTGTGCTCTTCGGTACATGTTTCGTTGTCTAGATCATCCCGAGACGCAGTTGGACAAAAAAGCATGGGAGATGCTTTTTCTAATTGCTTTCAAAGGCCGAAATTACAACATCTGTCGCGTGCTATGGCGCTATGCTTGCATGCATAGACGGGTGACGTACAAGATGAAGCAGTCCGTTCTGACCTCGCTTGCCCGGAATGTGCCCCGGAACAAAAGAGACGTGATCGATACTGTTTGGAGCACTAGTGCCGGCAATGTCATTGTTGGTGTTGATTTTGGTCAGTCCGTGTATCCCTTCGACGATGTCATTCTGGACAATGTGCCAGACGAACATCTTGACAATCCGGTGGCTTATCTTGCGTCCGGTTATAAGCCGGGCGGGGAAGAGCGCGCGATGCAACTCAGCCTTGCTTCAGCGCTTGTGAAGCGTGATATCGAGATTGGACCTCGATACCAGGCATCTGTGCCTTTTTCCATCATGCTGGAGGCCGCCGCCGTGATGGATCGTGGGTGGAAGGGCATCCCCAGACCAACGCAATGGGTGATGCAGAATTCCATCCACATACCTGTCCGCAAGGCGGATCTCTTCGCCACCTCTGCATAATGCATTTTGTCCACTATTGACTGCCCTGCCGCTTCGTTCGCATTTCCCACAGGAGTCCGCCTTTTTATGGCATATTTTTCATAACATTTGAGCCTGCACGTTGTATATTTTATTCGGTGGCTACGGAGCCCACCAAGTGTATATCATGTTGAGCGGATTCTTGCATACTACTGATAATTGGCATAGTCATGGGTATAAGGTGCGTGGTTGGATATTGGTTGGGTTTTATCAGCCTTCAGCAACCTCTTTTTGTACATTACATGTAAATAGATATCACCCCTCCACCCCGACTTCATGAATGTATATAGTGTGTATAGAGATATGAATCGAATAGAGTCTGAGAGGATCGCAGATCGTTGGGAGCCATTCAAGTCAGCCAGGGTTTGGCATCTAGCAAAACAGCACCTCAGTTGTCGCTTTGCATGTTCAATTTGGTAAGGCATAATCATCTACATCATTTAATGTGTCGTAAATGCATCAATATGTTAGGACAAGCGTTGCCATCAGTTCTGCTGGCAAAACTCACCCACGGCCGTTCTCATGCAGAAGAGCCGGGGCCGGAGGAGGTATTGGAGCTCCGTACGGATCCATGCTCGTTCGGATGGAGCCTACCCCCTCTTTAAGGTATAACACCAGCCGGTATGCAGAATTGCCATTCAGGTAATACCGATGAAGACGTTTACTTCGCAAAAAGCCCAGGCGCTCATACAGCTTGATGGCAGCAGTGTTTGTGATCTCCGTCTCTAGGACAATCTGTGCAAGAGGGAACGCCGTCAGTGAATCTTCTTCCAACTTCCCCCGCTGCAAGCTCTGCTCGCGGGTGAGCCTACCTCATCGGCATCCCGCTCTATCATCGCATCAATTGCCATCCGCACCAACTTGGTCGCTATCCCTCGCCCGCGGTACTCCTCCCGCACAGCCAGCATGGCAATATACCCCCTCAGCGGACCGCCCCGGTGCGGTTCGAGTTTCGAAACCACCACGCCTACCATGTAGTCTTTCTCCTTTGTATCGTCCATGGCCATGAAGCAGAGATCCCCCCATTGATAGAGGAAGTAGCGGTAGACGTAGATGCTGTACGGTTCCGACAGATCTTTAGAAATAAGCTGTCTCATTGCGGAGACGTATTCATTTTCGCGAGAGCCATCGTAGCGCACGTAGCGGAGATCTGAAGGAGCAGCAGCAGAAGCTGTGGGCTCTGCGGGTGAAGAAGAGACATCCTGGCTCATTACGGAGTCATCGAGGGGAGGAGGCGGGGGGGAATTCGGTGGGAGAAGGACTTGAGTGTGGAGCTTGTTTTCAGTAGACTGTTGAAGGAACCGGTAAAAGAACGGATGTGAGCAGCTTGTGATTGCGCTGTGTCGAATGATTTGAGGTTGGTGGTCTGAGAAGAAGACTTCTTAAGAGGATTTCTGAGATCCTCGCATGACGTCCGGGTTCCTGCTTCCCATGTGATTCCGATGCCCGTCGCTGCTCTTGGGTACCTTTTTTTCTAGCTTTTAACTTTCAATTCTTTTCAACTACTTTTCTTTCATTTCAATTCTCTGGGGCTCAGCAGTTACTGTTTTCAAATTACCCTCTGAGTCTGAGCTAGGCCCTACATCAATTGAAGCATTTTGTTTGACTAAGACCCTTCCTGGCGGTCGCCCACATGCTCCGCCGTCGTCTGGCAAAGGACGACGACGTCCAGCAGACTACGGACAAGTCTCGCGACGACAAAGGAAAGTCATCGCTAGATATTAAGACGGTTGTCATTCAAGAAAAACCGCAATCCGGATCGTTCTTCTCCCGACCGAAGAGCAAACGGCGCAATGGGCTCATCTTCGCGCTTGGAGGCATTTTCGGCATCTTTGTTGCCCTGTTCTTCGCCAACCAGCAGGATGTGATTAGTCTCGAATCATTGATGGATCTGAACCTGGACGCATTGATAGATGTGATTCCTCAAGGCATTGTAAGGGATGCGCGAGAGTTCACGGTATGCTGGAACCTTGATACCATTGCCAGTTGTTATCCCTCCATACTAATCGGCTTCCGTTGGCATCTCTACAGCAACATGAGCGCGACGCAGTCAGCTATGATCCCTTCTCCGTCGGTCTCCAGCTTCAGGCGCAAGGTATAGAGGCTAGGCATCCAATCGTTATGATCCCCGGTGTCATCTCCACCGGTTTGGAGAGTTGGGGCACAGGCCCGGCCTCCCGTCAGTACTTTCGTCGGAGACTCTGGGGCAGTTGGAGCATGATGCGTGCGCTGGTCATGGATAAGGCAGAATGGAAGAATCACATCATGCTGGACAGAGAGACAGGGTTGGATCCTCCGGGGATCAAGCTACGCGCAGCCCAGGGGTTCGATGCGACAGATTTCTTTATCACGGGCTACTGGATCTGGAACAAGATCCTTGAGAATCTGGCGACGATTGGATACGATCCAACCAATGCCTTTACTGCTGCGTATGATTGGCGGTTATCCTATCCGAACCTGGAACTCCGCGACCAGTACTTCAGTCGTCTCAAGTCGTACATCGAAACGGCTGTGCTGGTCAAAGGGGAGAAGGTGACTCTAGCGTCGCACAGTATGGGGTCGCAGGTGGTTCTCTACTTCTTCAAATGGGTCGAACATCCAGATCACGGCAAGGGAGGCCGCGACTGGGTCAACAAGCACGTCGCCAACTGGATCAACATTAGCGGGTGCATGCTAGGCGCCGTAAAGGGGCTGACGGCAGTGTTGTCGGGCGAGATGCGCGACACCGCTCAGCTTAACGCCTTTGCCGTGTACGGCCTGGAAAAGTTCCTGTCCAAGGAAGAGCGTGCGGAGATCTTCCGCGCCATGCCGGGTATATCCAGCATGCTCCCCAAGGGCGGCGAAGCAGTCTGGGGCAATTCTACCTGGGCACCGGACGACCAACCTGGCCAAGTTATGACCTTCGGCAACCTCCTCAACTTCCGCGAAACCAACTCGTCCTGGACCCGTAAAAACCTCACCACGGCAGAAAGCCTGACCTACCTGCTCGACCAAAGTGAGGATTGGTACCGCAACCAGGTGCTGAACAGCTATTCGCACGGCGTCGCGCATACAACCAAGGAAGTCGAGGCGAACGAGAACGACCCGCGCACGTGGCTCAACCCACTCGAGACACGGCTGCCACTTGCCCCGGACATGAAGATCTACTGCTTCTACGGCGTGGGCAAGCCGACCGAGCGCAGCTACTTCTACCAAGAAGAACGCGATCCCCTTGTCAACCTTAACGTCAGCATCGACACCACCGTGACCACGCCCGACGGGGTAGATCGCGGCGTCCTCATGGGTGAGGGCGATGGCACGGTTAACCTGCTCAGCACAGGATACATGTGTGCCAAGGGATGGCACATCAAACGGTATAACCCCGCGGGCGTGAAAATCAAGGTCTTCGAGATGCCGCATGAGCCAGACAGATTCTCACCCCGCGGTGGTCCGAATACAGGTACCTTCCTCTTCCGCCTCATTCAACCAAGGAGTCCATGGGTTACTGACTGATGATGGATTAGGTGATCACGTCGATATCCTAGGGCGCGCCTCGCTGAACGAGCTTATCCTCCGCGTGGCAGGAGGACAGGGAGACCTTATCGAAGAGACGTTTGTCTCCAGAATCAAGGAATACGCCGATCGCGTCAAGATATACGAAGAAGAATAATGACTCCTCCTTTCTAAACCCTTAATATCTCTATAACACTCGCATTCTGCTGTTGGTGACTTGCGACATACTCCATGCTTGTACTTTGCCGGTCTCGCTGTACATATACCAATAAAGATATCAAATTACTTTTTACAGAAGACTGCGCTCAGGCCGTACATAAGACTGTGACTCTACTAACCAAACTAATGTGTCTTACGACTGACTTGTCACGATACTCTCGGCAGATTAGGTTAAAACTGTGTACACGAGAAAAGATGATCACCGCATAATAATGTACATCACTGTTCTTCATAAATCATAACGCTACCGGATTAGAAATAATGATAATGCTATGGATCAATCATCCAACAACACCTCGCTGTGCACAGGAAAGAAAGGCGAGGAAGGTTGTAGAAGTCAGAAAGGAGATGAAGCTCAGTTCAGACTCGAGCCGACACGCCATAATAAATGGCTGCGGCGAGCCAGAGCGAAGAAAACCGAGAATAATTAGGTTGTATTAGGAAGTCGAAAATGTGCAGCGAGGTGTGTTGCATCCAGCAGCCTGAGAATCGAGACGGTACAGGAGGATAGAGGTGTTCTGTAAGAACACCTTATCCGAACAGTCACCGTGAGCAAGCTCAGTTTCCCTGAGCTTCCCGATTCAGGTTGATGCCAAATAATCGACGGAGACGCAGCTCCGCGGGGTGCCCACTGTCAAAAGCAAGCGATTGTGGGGTTGAGAAAGGACCACAGGAATGAATCTGGAGGACCCCTTTCTATATGCCAATGCAAGAATCATTAAAAGCATCAGAACCCTTCTAAGCGAGTGTAGTGCGTGCAAAAGGCGCCCAGCCCATGTTGTTTATCCTTCCCAATGAAATCACAACCCCAAAATTCCAGGCGCCGTAAAATGTGAGCGATCGACACGAATGGAAAGTATTTATGCACCTGGCCGAGCTGAAGAAAAGAAGCAAGGTGTCTCGACCAGTTGAAAGTAGTAGCGAATGACTTGAGTTGGAATCGGTGAAAATGTTCGTTCTGCAAAAGTTGTACAAGCGAATGTCCGATGTGGCACCCTCGGAACGAGCATTAAAAATTATGTTTGGAGCCCCCAGGGAAGATTCGAGCTCAAATCGAGGTCACGATCATAGTGGGCCGGCTGGTTTCGTGAAAAATGCATGTACAATCGAAAGCCAGGCAGAAGAAAATTGGGCACAACCAGGCCAATCCATCCCCATTGTGGAATGAAGCAACCGTCATTAATCCTGGAGCGCCCCAAAACCGTATTAAACATATATGTGTCGAAATCAGCTCAATGCGATAAACCAAGCATGTCGTTAAAATTTGTTTGAAAACGCCGTCTCATTAGTCAATGCAATAACACGTACACAGTGAAGTACGTGCCAAGGCTGGTTGAGCAGGATCAGAAATGCCTTCCAGACTCGATGTCGGTGGCAGGAGAGGCAAGAGTTTCGCCCTCCCAAGAGTAGTGGTCGTCAACTGGGCTAAGGGAGCCGGACGAGATAGATGACGAAGAACCAACGGTCCACTCATCGCTATCGAGGTTGAACTCTCCTTCGAAGCTGGCTGGACCGTACCCATAGTCGGGTGCGGAATCGCCGTACTCAACATAATCGTAGTCCCAGCGGAACATCTTATCATTCTGGACGCGAGGCATGAACCGCGTTTTGGCAAAGTAGAACGCGACAGTTGCCAAGAGTCCACCACCGACCAGATCAACAGCGTAGTGGTGCGAGAGATACATTGTAGCCCACCACATCCAGAGAGTATAGATGACGAACAAGGGCTTCAACCGTGGAAACACTTGGCTCATGAACAGAGCCGCAAGAGTCGAATCGGCGGCATGTAGGGAAGGGAATGCGCCGAAAACAACGGGAGATTGTCTGAAGCCCGAGGTGTACAAGTCTATCCCAAAGAGCTCATCGATACGAGCAAGGCCCGCAGGATTACCCGGCATGGAGTAATCAGCCGGAGCCAAGCCATACAGATTTTCGTACCACGGAGGAGAGCAGGGGAAAAACAGCTGAATGGTGACTGCAGCCATGCTGATGTATCCAAAAGTTCGAGCGAAAAGGGGGACGGTGCCGGGAGGACCGAAGATGAACATGATCGCTGAGCACACAAATGGCGCGCCATAATGGCAGATTCCATAAGGAAGCCACGCCAAAACGTCAAGCACCACATTTTGGTGGGCGGAAAGGATGTTACTGATGTTGGCACCGTAAAGAATGTTTTCCAGAGCCGGCAGCACGCGAACCCAGATTGCAGGGCGCCAGTCGCTTGGGATGAACCTTTCAGACAGACATGAGTACTCATCACATATTGTACTTGCTCGGGAGAGTGTGAACTTACTGGCAAGCGTAGAAAAATAGAAGCCATCCCGCAATCGGAAGAAATGGCAAGAAGAATTGGCGCGTAATCGGGAGAAGTAGAGAGATGAGGAGTAGCGTAAACGCGGCGGTCTTTGCCAATGGTCCAGGTGATTCCATAACGCTCAGGGAGAATATCCCGACAATCAGCAGCAAAAGATACTGAAAGTCATAGAGCGTCCATCGGTGA